CAATATATATATATAATATTATCAAAATTGTGTGTTACATCGGATGTAGATCATTTTCTTGACATAAGGAAATCCTACAAGGATATAAATAGTTACACCCACCCTTTATTTGTTTATGATCTTCGTAGGCTTATTTGTTTGCGCCAAATATATTTTTTCGGTAAATTCACTTTCTTTAATTATTATTATTTTTTTCTTGGCTAATGATGTCTGCCAGTAAATTTTCCAATTTCTGATCATATTTGTCAAGTCTTGCCTTTTGCAACTACGTATTTTCATTACGGAACACAAGATCTGAAATTTTTTATAAATAGAAAATTCCTTAAAAAAAATTCATAAATTTCTTGTACGTAAAAAAACTCTTCACAATCATAAAAATGAAGTCTTATTGGAGTTTCGCACTATTAATAGTATTAATAATACTTATCACAATTTCAGGTGTGATATCGATTTCTGATTCAAAATTTATAACAATTGAACTTTATAAAAGAGAATCAAAGAAATCGATTTCACCTGATAAACGACAAGCATTAATAGCCAAGAAATACTATAAATTATTTGGACGTGATACATCTATTTCTTTAGTCGGTGAAAAAAACGTAGGTCTTAGTTATTATGGTCTGATAACAATTGGTGGACAAAATTTTACAGTTGATTTTGATACCGGATCTTATGATCTTTGGGTTCCAGGAATTCAATGTAATTCATCTCAATGTAGTTCACATAATCGATTTGATCCTTCAAAATCTTCTACATTTGTTCCTTCTCAAAATAATTTTAGCATCTCTTATAGCGTTGGTATCGGTGTCAGCGGATATAGAGGTCAAGATACTGTCATTCTTGGTGGAATTTCTATTATTAATCAAACCATTGGACTAGCATTAATTGATGGCTTTAGTGATATATATGAAGAAGATGGTATTCTCGGTCTTTCCCTTCCAAGTGGTGATCCTACAAATACTGGAATTATTCAAACAATTAAGACACAAAAATCGCTAAATCAAACTTTAATCGGATTTCGTCTAGGAAGATATAAATTAAATGCTACCGATAAAAGTTTCATGAATATCGGTGGCATTGATTCAAATGCTTATGTGGGAAATGTTGTATATAACTATGTCGTCAATATGACACCATATTCAGGGACTTGGACAATCATTTTGAATGATGTACAAGTTGGCGGCGTTTCAATTGGAGGAATTGGTTTACCTGCTTTAATCGATACTGGTCGGTGTTATTTATTTTTTAATTTATTATCAACTTTTTATAAAAACTTTATGTTTGTTTTATTAATTAGGTTCTCCAATTATCCTTGGTAACTCTATTCAAGTTTCAAAAATCCTTGCAATGATTCCTGGTAACACTTTTAATAACAGTTTATGGTGGATCCCATGTGACACACAAAATGTTGTCTCTTTAGTATTCAATAACGTATCGTATCAAATTAGTCCTACCGAATTAATTATAACAAATAGTTCAATTATTCCAGTAAATAATAATGCAATGTGCTTATCAGCGATTCAGCAAAGTCAGTCTAGCGGATGGGTTGTTGGTGCTGCTTTTTTATCGAATGTTTATAGTGTATTTGATTTTGATAACTTGAGAATTGGATTTGCTGAAACTAATGCTTCTTAAATTAAAACTATATCTCATTTATTTATATATGTATATTTATTTCTTGATTGTAATTTATGTATACGTATCAGGTAAAATAATACATAGTTATTGATAAGTAACCAATAACTACATTTTTCGCGAAATGACGCCAGTGTTATTTCGAGTAATGGCCTGAATTAAGCTTAATTTATGCCAAAAACCGAAATTACATTCCTGGACGTTATTTCATAAAGATACGGGTACTAATATATATAGACGTAAAATAGTGGGCCAAAGAATAACTTATAATACATTTAAAAGAATTAACAGAATTGGCAATAGACAATTAGATAAGAATACTTTGTACTTTTGAAATAAATTATAAATCTAATTAGATAATAGTATATGACCCTAATGAGTATATCCAATTAAGTTAAAGTTTCATAAAAACTTCATGGGAGCGCGAGATCCCAAAAGTTAAGGTTACACGATGCAGCGCGAAGATTACATAAATACGTTAAGATTTTTAGAATTGAATTGCCGGTTTTCACAGTTATGCCGTGCTGGTGCCGCCTGCATAAATTTAATTCGAAATCTAATTTTAGAAGTGTAATTTTGGTTCAGCGCAAGACACGAGGCATGGATATATATTCCTTCTTGAAATTCTCAACGCAGGAAATGAATTAAATTATGAGAATGCGGAAGCAAGACTGATCTTTCGATAAAAAAATAAAAAAGATCTAAATCGCGAATTCTAAACTCTAATGGACAACGTTGTTAGTACATAAGTACTAAAAGTAATGACAAAAAAAATATTGAAAAACGTGCAAATTTGGATATTAAATCAATTATATTGCAGCTAGTTAGCAAAATCAAGCATGAAGTCCATCGACATATAGATGTAAACTACTCTCTTGATCATATGAAATAATAAACAAATAATTTCTGGTATGATTGAATTTCATAGTGACCGTATGATTTTTCTATTTACAATGTTTCTTGAAACTTTGCCGAATTGATATTAGCCATGTGTATTTGTTAATATTCCATCAATAATTATACGTAAGAATATCACTTACAAAATATACAAAAACAGTAGGTAAGATAAAAAAAAGTCATTAAACAAGTAGCTGCCACGCGAACAATCATGCTGTACGTACGTATAATTTAAAGTATAGTACAATGCCTAGCTCGATTTAATTAACCGGTTATAAATTTAAAAATAACTTAGGTATTCCAAATTTAGTGAGATTCTACAACACTGAAATAGATATCGATATAAGTTATTTATTTTATTTTATTTTATTTATTTATTTTATTTTTATTTTACTTTATTTTTTTTATTTTTATTTATTTTATTATTTTATTTTATGCATACTTAGTACTGTATAAACATAAGTTTTAAATTAATCAATTTCCAAGCTTGAGAGCTAGTTTGCAAAATAATGATCGATAATCTTTGGTTGTATTTTGTTTCGGTAGCAAGCCTTTTAAATTGGTATTACGACATATAAGTTTAACCATTATTAATAATTAATAATTAAATTTTGATTCAAGTAGTCTTCAACGAGCCAATTTCCCCAAGACTGGTTAAATTAGTGGAAAAGAATGCTTTTAACTCTTTAATTTCTTCTTCCAAATTGGTTAATGTTAGAGAAACATTATTATTTTTAAGAGCCTTATAAATGATAGTGAACTTGTCAAAATCGTAGCCAACTCGGAACATTGTTACCTGTTTCGAGATCATTTCCCGTATCAGTTTTATATTTAAAAAATACTTGATAAAATCTTATAGCTTTTTAACATATAAGATGGCCTATTAATGTTGAAAATACGAATGCAAATGTTGTAGCAATTAAAATTAAGCTTTATGCACAATACGTATTATTGATATGAATCATAATATTCAATATCTGCAATTACCTCGGCATTTGTACAATCCACACTTACATTAATTTTTGCGTTGGCACTATTCATAAGCACGACTATTGAAGAAAGAAGTTAATAGATTTTAATATCAAAAGAGCATAATTTTAACTACACTTAGAATATTCAACATTAAAATTGCTGTGCTAAGCGAAAAATAATCACGGAAATATCTAACAGCCGATTATTTGGTCATGGTTCCAGAAAACCGTAATTACCCTAAAGTATTAATAAGAAAACCATTAACGAATGGTAAATGTAAAATATTAAAGTAGCCATTTGATTTTCCAACAGAACTCTTCGAAAACTTTTTATGACAAGATATCAATAGATTTATTTTATCATCATTTATATTAAAATGGAATTATGAGAAATCTTACCAGCGATGTAAGCAGCAAAATTCTCAAAGATACAACAATAAAAATCCATATAAAAAGATAGAAAAGATTGGAGCTCTGGAAGAGCATAATTATCGTGAAATTCTAGTGATACTGTAACAACCGGAAGAATGGATGCTGCAAGCCTGACAATAGAGCCCATCATTTAAAAATGTAAATATGATCATAATTCATTTTTCCTATTCATGTATAAAAATTTAAAATAATATGCAATGCCTTATGAACCAAATTAATATCAACCAAATTAATATCATAAAGAATATGTTTGCAATCATTAAAATCGTTAAGTTCTGTTTCCAGTGGTAGTGTTGTTCATTTTACTCATTACTGCAACAAAAAAAAAAGGTTAAAAGGATAATATAGTAACCATTTTTGTGAAATAATAACTCCATTTATCAGTATCGCAATACAATAGATTCAAAAGCAGGCAATCGAAAAATTATCAGGAGCGTAGATAAGCTAGTTTCAAAACGACTAAGTCTACAAGAATTTTCTCGTTTTAAGTAGGTAAATACACCGAGAAAAGTAATAATATTCGGACAAATAAGTTCTAAATTATTATCACACACTACAGTATAATTTGATTAAAATCAGGTAGCATGTTCATATTCTATAAATGATAAAGCTAAAGGCCGAAACTGGCAGAACTCATAATATCATACTGTACTACACAAACTAATAATGTATCTATAACATTCTATAAATCCAATCGTTTTTAAAATAGAAATCTTTCATGACATAAATATGCACTATATCAATAAATATACTTTCTGTAAATATACTTTCTGTAAACATACTATATATTTAATTCATTAATTTTCAAGAAATGTAAAATAAAATACGAATTACCAATAATGAAACTCAGTAGAACTTTGTCAAACTAATGTTATAAAATTTCTAGCTAGTATAGTTTTTGAATAGTAATTAAATGCTCTCGTGAGAAAAAATTTGTTGGGTAACCTTTTATTTTTAATTATTTAATAATATTTAAGCTTAAAAAAATCCGATTTAATACGTAAAAGTGAAAATTCTTCGCAAGTCAAAAAATCTATTCTTAAAAGTCATTATCAGGAATTTTTTCTTTGCCTTTTGAATTTTATTCCTTCCAATGTCAAGCACCTTACTGAATTATGTAAATTTATTGTATCAGAGCTTAATAATCGGAATTTTCAACATCATCAATAGGTTGACTTATCGCCGTTGCTAAAAACAAAATAATTATTATACAGTTTAATTCAATTTAAAAAGATTAATAAATATCATACCTGCATTTACTACATTCAAATTCAGAAATTTTTATAATTATTAATATATTAATATTTTTTTTTTAAAAAAAAAACATAAATAAATAGGCAGCCGTTAATAGAGCAGTAGAGATGGGCACGCGCGGGATTTTTAATATGATCCCAGATAAAATTATCTGGCCGGCATTACCATATCATCTGGCAATTAGAATAGAATCGTCACCCAAAAAAATTTCAAACTATATTTCGAAATAAAATTTTGGTTTGTTAGATTAGGGT